GAGTGGGAGTGGGAGTAGGAGTAGTAGTAGTAGTAGTAGTAGTAGTAGTAGCAGGAGTAGTAGTAGTAGTAGTAGTAGTAGTAGTAGTAGTAGTATTTTTGTAGTAGTAGCAGTCGTCGTAGTAGTAGTAGTAGTAGTAGTAGTAGTAGTAGTAGTACTAGTAGTAGTAGTACTAGTAGTACTAGTACTAATACTGGTAGTAGCAGTTGGTAGTGCTAGTAGTAGTAGTCGTCGTCGTAGTAGTAGTAGTAGTAGTAGTACTAGTAGTACTAGTACTAATACTGGTAGTAGCAGTTGGTAGCGCTAGTAGTAGTAGTCGTCGTAGTAGTAGTAGTAGTATCAGTAGTGGTAGTAGTGGTAGTAGTAGTAGTAGTAGTAGTAGTAGTAGTAGGTAGGAGTAGTGGTGGTAGTAGTAGTATAGGAGTAGGAGTAACAATAGGAGTAGTGGTAGTGGTAGTGGTAGTGGTGGTGGTAGTGCCAGTGCTAGTGGCAGTAGTAATAGTAGTGATAGTCTTATTATGGTCATTTATATTATTATTGTTTGTAGTAGTAGTGGAAGAGGTGGTGGTAGTAGTAGTACTAGTAGCAGTACTAGCAGTAGTAGTGGTAGTTACTAATAGCAGTGGTAGTTGTTGTTGCACAATTGTGTATTCCTTCCTTGCTTTCTTTTGCCTTCTGTGCCTTCCTTTTTCCCTGTGTGCCTTCTTGCTTTCTTTGCGGTTTCGCATTCCCGTCATTCCTCTGCCATGTTCCTCTCTTCTTTGCTTTCTGTATTGTTTGTTTGCTTCCCGTGTTTCCTTCCTTCACTTTCTTTTCCTTTCTGGGTTTTATTATTTCCTGCTGCCTTCCTTCGTTGCTTTCTTCCTGCGTTCCTGTTGTCCATCCTCCTTCTATATTTTTCTTTCGTGGCTTCCTTCTTTCCTTTCCGCGTTCATCCCTGTTTTTCTGCGTTTGCTCCTTCCTGCCTTGCTTCCTTACTTCCTTCCTTCCTTCCTTCCTTGCTGCGTTCCTGCTCCTTCCTTGCTTGCTGCATCCTTCCTTCCCTCTTCTCGCTATGTTTTGATTTTCTTGATCCTGATTCATTTTTGATTCGAATTTATTTGTTGATCCCCATCCCGGATTTAAAGGGGTTAAGTTTAGGGCTTGTAGGGATTTCGCAGTTGGGGCTGTGCCTAGTAGATCCTCAAGCTGCTTTGAATGAAGAAATCCTTTTTTTGGCCAGCCCAATTTCGAAAGCATTCAGTAGCAGCGAGAAGCAGGAGGGAGAAGAAGAGAAGAACTCTGAGTCGGACGGTTTCGCCTCCTAGCTGTTACAGCGCCGTGTGAAGCGAACAAAACTACAGAATAAACCTGCAGCAACACCTGGTAGCCTGGTAGACCCGACACCCTAAGCCCCAGAAGCTGGAATATTGAAGACTAAACTCCAAGAGCTGTCACCCCAAACATCACTCCTACAACGTTCACCCCTAAACTGCAGGTTAGGCTTGAAGGACTGGCGTCGAGAACTTGGATGACGAGGCTCATGGTGACGGCTAGGGCGATGGTGACAGCCACTATGATGCCAATTGCGGTACAGATGTTCTTGTTGCTGCTGTTGATGCTGAGGAGACGATGCTCTATTACCAAAACACAAAGGGAACTCCTGGCCAGCTGCAATAGACAACTTCTGCAATAACGCTGTTGGCTCCTGGTTCGGGTCCCTTCGTTGGCTTCGTCTCCTCATTCGCCCCAGGCCAGGGATACCCGACTCCGTATGAGGGCCCGACGATTTGTATACTCCAACTTAGGGCCGTAGACCCCAAAACCCTACCAACATAGCCCTTTGATCCGACGCTGTCCTACACTCCTCAGGCAAGAGACGACCCTAACCTTGAGACCCAAGCCCTTCAGGCCATGGTTAGAGGCTCTGTCAGAGCCCGGCCCGTGTGAAGAGCGGGTCATTGGCACGACCGAGGAAAGCGAAGCCTTCTAGCATTGGGGATTTGGGGTTTGTATAGGGTCTATTGAGTCTACTGTTTGTTTGGGTCTGTCTCACTCAGCTGCTCGTACTTAGCACAGCTTTCGGCCTGTTCTCCCTACTCGCCCGGACATGCCAAGCGCATGAAGTGAAGTGAAGTTTAGGGTCTGGGCCTTGTGGCTTAGGATCTATCTGATTTAGGGCTAGGGTCTAGCATTTCAGGCACAAAGCTTAAGGTCAGACAGGTTTAGAGTTCCAGCAGTCGTTGATGCAGTTGCGTGTTATGGGCTTTGGAGGATCAAGTCTCGTATTCAGGTCGGTCGGATTCTAGTTGATAACAATACGTATATTCAAAAAAAGGCCCAAAGGTCTTGATTCCTAAACTCCCCATCTTAGAAGCCCGTTCATTCTTTCATGTCATCTTAAAGGCTTCGGCGGTGCGTTGCACAGGATGCTTCCAGGATCTGGGGCTTTGGTTTTTTTCGATGCGCGAAGGTCAAGCCCCTTTTGCGTGTAGAGAGGCTAGGCCCATAAGAGTTGCAACGAAGTGTCTCAAATCAGACATGAAGCAAATAAGGACAGCAACGAACATAAGACAGTCATTCTCAGGATGTAGATGTTGCAGACTAGAAGAAATGTCGTGACCCCAACAGCAATAGAATCACAATTAATCCGAACAACAACCAACATGCAGATAGTCAGATCACGGTCATAACATGGGCAGAAACTAACGAACATTTGCCGTCTATCTTAAGCAACTCAGCTTGTGGGTGCCTCGCAACAGCAGCGCAAGCGGCTCTGCACTAAACTGGGCGATGCGGCGCTGAGCCTGTGGGTTGTTTTACAAGGCACGGCACTCATTTAACATTCAAGCACGTATGCTACAGGACAGCACAAGGGGATATAGATTGGGGCTCGTTTCATAGGCCCCCACCCCCGACCAAAAGTTGCGGTTTCGGGGTGGTTCGCTTCGGTTTCAAACGGGAGGGCTTCGTGGGGGTTTGGGTCGATTTGGGGCATGGGGGCTTCAGCAGGAGCAAAAACAACGCATTAATCAGGCCCCACTTTTTTTGGTCGGGCCTTGAATTAGCCCGGCCCAAATGCATTAAGTACCCCGACCCCACTATCGAGCCCCGCCATTAATCACGTGTAAGATCAAGCTTCAATGTGGAGCGTCTGAGGATCTCGAGCTGTCAGGTCCTGGGGTCTATAGTGACTCTACCTATAGTCTCCATTGTAGTTCCTTTTTTTTGGTTTAACCAATATATTAAGGATTTTATAAGGTAACCCCAAAAAGGAACTACAATGGAGCCTATAGGTAGTGTCAGGGTTTGGGATTCATACGGCTTCGGCTTCGGTGTGACATGTTCCCGACCACCTGTCCGACACGAGATCATGGACATGGGCTCGACAGCGGGACCCTCACCGGAGCCTTAAAACTTAAAACAAACCTGAATGCGGGCATACATAAAGTTCAACAACTTATCTTCACAGTGGCTCCGCGCCTGCAAATATTGGAGCCTCAGAAAACAATGGACCCCAAGTCAAAACGGCAGGGTCCTTATTACAAGGACCTCAGAAATAGACCGCTAGTTCTTGGAAATCCGCCCTACGAGCTCGAGAGATCCTGCCGAGCCTGCGCGGAGATGTCGTCGAGCAGCCGCTCGTCGGCTCGCTGCGCACGAGCCAATGCGACCTTGTCGGGACCAGATTCATAGCAACCCTGGAGCACGCTGCGAACAAGTTTCAGCACAAATTTCTCGGCATTGAGGGGCACCAGGGTTATGGTTGAGGGGTGTGGTAAAGTACTGAGTTCGAAGGAGACTGTTTCGGGATTCTCCGACCATACAGGTCGCGCGTCAATCCTTGGGACTTCGCATGATAGGGGTCGGATCGATTTACGGTCTTAAGACCCCAACCTCCACAACCCACACTCTCAAGTCCGCAGAGACCCAAATCCAAAAAAACTATACACCCCGAAAGCCTCTCAAAAAGGCCCCTGCAGTCATCGTCTGAAGCTCCTTGGCCGTGAAATGCCGTATCACCGGCTTCGACGCCCTGGATGGCGGCTGGGGTAGGGCTTCTGAACTTTCAGAGTGTAGGGTTTAGAGGCACGTCGGTATTTGAGGGTTTATGGCCTTCAAGTTTTAATTGCTAACCCCAGCTGCCAGGGCAACGTGATGCTTGCAGCCCAGTATGCCGCCCAATGGGTGCAGGATGCTGCAATGCGTCATCCGGAGCTTCGGCATTGCATGGCTCCAAGCTGACATGACATGCAGATTTTCTACGCCGCGGTGAACAGGCGACCGCAGAAATTTGCGAATTCGCAGAAGACTTGAAGACACGTAGACGTAGGCGTAGTGAAGAGGTAGTCATGGTTGAAACAGGCATACGCTGGAACTTCTGTTCCACCGTACCATCTGAGGTCGAGTGTGCTGCTGATCTTCGATAGCTCTTCCAGGACCTCGTCGGGAACGGGCCGAGCTCGAGCTGAGGTGCAAAGACGGCTTTAGGGTTTAGGGTTTAGGGTTCAGGCCTTCCTGCCCTCGTCTTGGAAGACGTTTCTCTGGAGACTTACTTCGGTGATGTTGCGATTGGCGATCAAAGCTTCTGCAAGGGCCTCACAAGGAAACGGGACAGGGGACGTTCGCAAGCCGCAACACCCTCTTGAAGCCTTGATGCCCTCGTCTCCGATATCGTTGTCGTCGAGGTCGATAGCACGGAGGGTTGGGTTGGACCTCAATGCTTCTGCAAGGGCCTCGCAAGGAAAGGATCGGGCTCATGCTCTGAGACTCCCTTGGGCACTGCAGGCCTTGCAGCCCACGCCGTGTAGGCAATATTCTAGCTCGATGGTAGCGAAGTTGCTGTTGGTCACCAATATTGCCTCGGCCAGCGCCTCGCAGAAAACGGCAGGGCGTGCAAGCTGCAAGTTGCTGGGCACGGTACAGTAGTGCCTTGCAGCCCTCATCTCCGATACAATTTCCCTGAAGGCTGAGGCTGGCAATGTTGGTGTTCTTCTTCAAAATATCTGCAAGCGCCTGTCAGGGAAACAAAACCGGGCTCAAGCTGCAAGGACCTCTTGGGCCTGGGCACCCCAGAGCCTTGCAGCCCTCGTCTCCGATGTCATTATATCCGATGTTGAGGCTAGTGAGGGAGCGATTGATCCTCAATGCATCCGCAAGGGCCTGGCAACGAAAAGCGGTTCGATTTGCAGGCTGCGAAATTCTCTTGGGCCTTGATGCCCTTCGCGTTGATGCGATTATGTTCGAGGCGAATGGTCGCGAGGGTGCTGTTGGTCACCAATGCATCAGCCAGGACCTTGCAGAAAGAACAAGGCGTGTAAGCTGCAAAAGCCGCCTTGACACTGCAGGGGCCTGGCAGTCCAGGTAGGTAGGATTGTTTCTGAGATCTATCTCGGCGATGCTGCGACCCAGCTTCAACACATCTGCCAAAACCTCGCCCGGAAAGACAAACAGGTCTGCAATTGTCAACAGCCTCTTGAGGAATACAGGCCTTCATGCCCCCCACGGCTCCGATCTGTGAATCAGCGAAGTCCAGCTTGGTGGGGATGCGGTTGCTCTTCAGTTTTGATGCGAGCGCCTAACATGCGGAAGTCTGTTCACGCACACATAACTTGTCGAGAAAGGCAGCGGTCCTCGATGCGCACTTTTCCCGTGCAACCCTCGGCAGCTCTACTAGAGATGATGGCTTCAGAGATTCATAACGTGGCGACATGGACAATCAGGCAATCTTTAATGAGCGCCCCACAATCCGAGACTACCAAGCACGAAGCCCTGAAACCAACTGCTGCAAACATCGACATGCTCTATCCTGGATCACAACAGGCACGCCGATCCAACCAACGGTTCTAAAGAAAACACCCCCTCCTCTTCTCTCTCTCATATGAAGATCGAACTGCAGGTATCATGCTGTTCGAAGACTCGCGTGAGTCACAGCAGCATCCAGGGAGACGATATTCAAAAGATCAGGCAACACACACACAACCTGTAAGTCGCAACATGCTAAGGCCAAGGCATTAGCCGGTGCTGAAGTCGCATCTCCAGGGTTGGGCTGCGTGCTCACTTTCCGGGTGTCGAGAGCCCTTCGTATAGCCTTGCAGGAGGAATGAAACCAATAAAACAGAATCCACGACCTCCAAAGACCGGGGCCCGGGCCATGTAGTACTCGTAACCGCCGCCCTGGTACTCCAGCTTCAGTGTGGTGAGGGTGCGGTTGGTGGTCAATGCCTCTGCCAGGGCCTAACAGGGAAAGGACAGAGCATGCAAGCTGCAAAGGCTCCGTTGGGACTGCACAGCCTTGAGGCTACCGCCTAAGATGGTATTCTGACGGAGGTCGATCGTGGTGAGGGTGGTGTTGGTCTTCAATGCTTTTGATAGGGCCTCACAGGGGCAGGGATGTTCCATCAGGGTCAAAATCACATCACAGGTGGCTGATGTGACTGGCATACCTCGCAGAGGACCGTGCACTGACGCGTACCGGACTCAGCGACCTTTATCTCCAGCTCCGTGATCGTGTTGTTCTGAGCGAGAGCCTGAGACCAGCTTCCTTCCTTTAAGCACCGGCACGATGCGAGGCCCGAGCCTTCGCGAACTCGTCGGCATCCTCATCTTCCACCTCGATGTTGCGTAGGCGCAGGACCTTGAGCATTTTGTAGTGGGCCAAAGCTTTGGCCAGCTGAAACAGCTCGCCCTTCGGCTGATTTTCCAGCAGCGCCTCTTCGCACACCGAGGCTTTCTGGTGGAAAACCTTCCGCTGCAGCTTTAGCACTGCTGTGGCATCGTTTCGATGTGTGAATTCGGCTTTCGCCATGTCTGCTTCGAACACTTCCGGCGCCATTGCGACTTTGCCCCGCAAAACGTCCCTTTCAGAGTCACTGTCAGAGTCACCTTGCCACTCAGGAGCGTCGATCCGCTGGTTTTGTACGGACCTGCTCCTGCAAGAGGACCACTCAACCTCTGCCTTACACCACCCCCTACTTCGATAAGGGACTCTGTTGGCGACCAGCTCCTTGAGGGGCCGGCCTCGGACGGTCTTGCTTGTCGCATCATACACGGTCACGAGATGCTCCGAGTTCTTCAATGCGGCGTCCCAAACATCGTCTGGGGTGAGAGATTCCAGTCGAAAGGTCCAGTTGCAGTCGTGAGCATAGAGCACATGCATATGGCTCATGGACCGCCGGAAACTCTCTTCTTCTGCGGGCGTCTGTCGCTCGAACTGGAAAAGCGAGATGTAGTCGTAAAACAGCCAGATATGGGAATAGTATGCAGCACCGTAAAGACACAAGCGGTCCACCAGCCGGTTCAACTGGTCGCCGCAGGGATCTGGGTGCTCACGGGTTTCCCAGGCATGTGAGATCGATATGATCATCGCATCCCGGGCTCCGGCGGCCCAGTTGCTCACTTCCTCGTGGCTCACCAGGCCCCACTCTTCCTGAGCTTGGAGCCACCAGCTGCAAAAAGTAAATTCAAAAATACACCCCAAAATTTACTCCCGATAAAAGAAATTACTACAGAATTACAACATGATATACCGAATTAAGCCCTGATCTGGTTGTAATTTCATTTCAGTGCTCCGTATCACCGGCACAAACAGGTCTGAGGCCCGCTCAGCTTCCTGGCGTCGGGGTAGCAGCTTCTTCTGGCTTCGCAGCTCGCACAAATACCTGCGCCACCCAAATCTCGGTGGCAAGCTGGAGCCCAACATCGCCGGCAAAACTGGTCATGAGGCTTTAAGTTTTACGGTGACGATTCTTAAATTAGCGCATTTTTAAATACCTAAACAAATATTTTCCTCCATTGGCTTCGGGCCCGGCCGCCACCCCTCCACCCCCCCCCCCCTCCCCCCCCCCCCCCCCACCCCCCCTCCACCCCTCCACGCCTCCACACCTTCCTCCTCCACCCCTCCCCCTCCCACCCTCCTCCCCCACCCCCTCCACCCCCACACCCCCACCCCTCCACCCCCTCCTACCCTACCTCCACCCCTCCCCAGCAGCCGCGGTTCCGACATCAACAGCTCAGCAGCACTGAAACAAAGGCTGAATATGAGAAGGCAACACTCCCGACAATTCCCGGATGCTCTAACCTCGATGTGCAACGAGGCACTCCGCACGGACCAGACGAATGTCCGCATGCTTCAGGAATGCGGCCAAGCTCTGCGGGTCTTCCAGATGATAGTCGGCCTTACAAGCTCAAAGGCCGCTAAACAAAGCGAACAAGCCGAATGCAGAGGCCTCCATAATTACGTGGAATTGGGGCTGAGGGGGGTTATACTATACTATGATGATAAGAAAGAGAATAGTATGACTAGTTGTTGAAACCCCTATTTTAACAGCAAGGAACGTCAACCAACCCGACGACACTTCGAGACACCACAGAAATAGACACTTTGGACAAGGAGCCGTCAAGAAGAATTGAACGCGAACGACCAGTGATCAATGAGACCAGAAAAGCCTATCTATCTGTGGGAGGCTACACAGCTAGAAACAGTCAGCATAAGAAGAAGTAGTAACAGTCATAACCGAAAAAGTTATAATCATACTGAGAATAACAGCAACGATAGGTAGCAATTAATAAGTTAGCGATAGATGCTCCGGACAGGAAACTTGCAGGGGGAGCCTGGGGTGGGAGGCCAGGCAAAACCAGAAAACACAAGCACGCGCCACAAAGCCAAGCAAACCTACAATTCCGGAAGGAGAAACGCGAGCGCTTGTGCAACCCCACAATCATCATTCACGATTAGCAGTAAAAGGTTTCGGGTGGTATATTCTGTAGTATACTAGTATAGCTGCACTGGGACTATAAGGGATCGACAGTATTACTACTTCCTTTAATATATTTCCCCAGCCGCGGCCTCACTCGCAGGATGCGCTTCGGAAGTCTTCGCCTTACCGCGATTGGCAGGTCCTATGCTCCCCAATAGTCCCTCCCCAACCCCCATGTGCGGTGACTTGAAGTGCTGGATCGGGTTGGCGAGCTTTTGCAGTAAATGTGGCGTTTAGGGTTCCGGGGTTCAGTGTCGCGAAGGGCCTGAGTCCGTGTGCTTCCAAGTGTTTGCCACAATGCTGCTCGAAACCAGCTGGCCTCAGACCGGCATGAAAGGGACATCCCAAATTCAGAGTAGCTAAGAATCTTCCTGAATCAGTCCCAAGCTGTGGCAAGATTCTTGTTCTTGGCATTATTACAGTGCAAACTAATTACAGCTCTGCGAATAAAACTTCAAGATTAGGCGAGGCCACAGCAAGCAAGCAGCCGAGCGTCGGTGTCACACGGCGGAAGCATTGCAGCACAGGAACGATGGGTCGCGAAGCATGAGGCTGTTCGACAAGTGAAGGATTCGTGGAGAGGTTTCTTGACATTGCCACCGATGGAGGCTTCCAACAAACTTCGATGGCTTTTCTGTTGTTTCTGCTTGCATCCTAGGTCCTCGCTAATTACGAATGCAAAGTGAAGGCCTCGGAAACTCGAGCAAACATCACTGCACACATGCACTGCCCCCCAGGCATGCAAGGCGCAAGGCTTTCCGAACCCAATCCCTTCAAACCCTACAGCACCATACCAGAAAACTGAACTACCCCATGTGCCTCGCGAACCCTACCCGCAAGCCATGCACTGTAAAGTCGTACGCTGGCTGAGCCCTGCGCTGCAAACACTCGAAAAATATAACATATAACAAAACCAAAACAGCGTCGTACTTACCTAGCAACCTTGGCACGGAAAGCCTTGCAACACCAAAGGGGCACAGGGATTCAGGGCTCTGGGGGTTCAGGAGGGCTTGAACCATCTTATTATTTCCCGCAGCCCACAATGTGGCCCAAAGCTCCCAAAGCCCTGAACCCAACACTAGCCCTGCTGAACCACGAAGAAGGCCTGGACAGTGTGCTCCAAACCCTGTGTTCACGCAAGCCTGAGAGATGAGGGTCAGGGCTTCTAATTCACAGGTACTGACAGCAGGCTGCTCTGAGGGTAGAATCAAGGGTTCTGTGAAAGCTGAAGGGGCAAATTGGGGCTTATACGATTTGAGAGTTGCGGTTCAGGGCTGAGGGTCTAGGGTCTGTCGAAGTCTCAGGGGCAAGAAAGATCAGCGCCAAGCTACAGCGCACAGGCGGTTCGGAAGCTGATGAATACATTGCCGACCCGATAGGGGACGGAGAGCAATTTTATCAAATTTCCCCCCCGCGCCCGACTTCGGTGTTCATCCTCTAAGCACTACGGCCTCAAGGGATTGAGGGAGGGCAATGCTCAGCTCTGAAACCCAAATCCGTCATCGCACCCTGCACCAGCTGTAAGGTTTGGCTTAGGCCCGCCACCGTAGGGTTGGGGACCTGGCAGCCTGCAGCTCAAGTTCCGTATAACCGTAGCGCTTGCCGAGCTGCCCAGTCGGGCAAAGGAGTAAGCCGCCATAGTGATGTCCTTGGCATCACAGGCTTCGGGGCTTATGACATGCCGGGAATGCCGGGTCCCTCGGATGGCGGTTTAGGCCCTTGTAGGTTTTCTGTGACTTTTGGTTTTGCATCTATCCAGAACACAACGACACCCCTTGCGAAACTAGGCGTCACAGTGGGCAGATACGGAGCCTTCATGATCCCATATCATCATCAAGCTCTGCCTCTGCTCTACCCCATGTACACCCCAAGCCTCAGCGAATAGTGAAACGACCCACCCCTTAATCCCAGGCTACTCACTGCCACCAGGAGCCTCCACAGCATCCTAGCCGCACTCCACCCTGAACCTGAATACCCCAAGGCTCACACCTTTTTCCCGAACCCCTGAAACCTAAGCCCAAACCCTAAACCCTAAACCCTAAACCCTAAACCCTAAACCCTAAACCCTAAACCCAAACCCTAAGACAAGAAACCTCCAGAGTCCCAATGCGCATGCCATCTACGGAACTCGAGAGTGCCAGATACGTCAGATCATCTCAGGTGGAGACTCGCGCAGAGAACGGCGGCCTTGTCGTAGCAGAATAAGCATACAGACGCCGTAGCTACATATTATGATTTATAATTGTCCCCTGATTGAGGCACCCTCTATGACAACAAACTAGAAGTGTAGGACATGTCTAGAGGGTTTGTGAAAAATAGGAGCTGCATGGCCGAAGAAGCTTAAACATCCGCAACCTTTGGCAACTGAGGGGGGATGCACTATGCGATTTTGGAGTTTCAGATGATTTCTAGCAGGAACACCGGTCAGAAAATCGATCGTACTGACGGCAGCATCAAAAGAAACAAGGAAATCTAGAATCGCAGGAACTACAGTCTGAAAACCAGTAATGATGCACATGATGTTGTTGTTGTTGCTGCTGCTGCCGCCGCTGCAATTGCTGTGGCAGCTGCACTGCTGCTAAGAATATGGCTTTGATCAGCAGGCCCATAGCAATTCGGAGTAAGAAGCAATAATCAATGATCATAGTAACCATCGTCGTAGTTCTGGGAGTAGTACACATCATTAATACCATCACACTCCGAAGATCATGCAGGCGCAATGAAAAGAGCCTCAGCTGCAGCACAGACTCGTCCTCGGGAAATACTACCTGCAGGATAGCACTGCTAAATCTTGCATGTACAGGGGTGACCCTTCTACTGTTCGGAGCACCTTGATCCGATTGCTGGAAGAATCCGAAAAGCCAGTGATGCCGGAAGATAAGGATACTCGGTTCAGCGGCTGAGGGATGTAGGACGTACAGCTTCAAGGGTCAGGATACGATTGAGGATGCTGCCGGCACGTGTCTTGAGGTCAGGTCGGGCTGAATGTATCGAAGAAGTCTCGGACACCGGCAGATGTCGGCTGATGTCGGAGTCGAAATGGGTCAAACAAGCGACGTCATGGCAAGGTTCTGCCAAGAGCGCTACAGCATACAACGCCGTAACGATCCATGTAAGGGTCTCAACATACCCTAAGAACCCAAAACCCACTTTTTTGTAGGTTCCTATTATAAACCCCAATCTGGGATTTATAGGGACCCTACAAAAAAGTAGGTTGTGGGTTCTTAAGGTATCTCCATTCCTCAAAATCCTTTCTTGGGGTTTTCCCTGTGAGTCTTCCAGGACCGACCTCGGCCAACTTGTCTGCAATGCTCGCGAGAAGTCGCTCCTTGGCAACCATGTACAAAGCGCTGAGCCAAAACCCCAAACCCATTTGCCCAAAACCGAAGCCAAGAGCTCGTCTAGCGGCTCAAAACCCTGATCTCATGCCCGGTTATGCTCACACCAGCCAGACCCTCTGCAATGTCTCTTTCTTTGAGAATGAAGTACCCTCTTGCTTTTTGCTGCCTATTTTTGGAATTGTAAGCTTCTTATCAGAATACCCCCGCGTCAATCCCAGAAACGATGGCATCAGGATCTGGGGAAATACTAAGCTTCGCAGATGCACGGCACCGTATCTTGACACTGTGCTTGTTGTCACATGCAACCTCGATGCCCGAAGCCACCCCGCTTTGCAAGCCTCCCAAGGCCGTGGAAACCCTGATGCCCCGGAGCCTACAGCACCCGCTGGCCGAAAGAAGGCATACACGGCATTCTGCTCAGCAGGCGGCATTGCAGATGTTGAGCCTGCAATGTTCCCGGAGCGGCTCGCTAAATCTACGTAAGCTATAGACTGACTTTTCAATCAACAGCAGTGTCTGAGTAAAGGTCCTAAACCTGTAGAGCTGTTCTAGAGCGGATCGGCCCAAACCTGAATCTCACATACCTGCCCAGAAGCCCGAACCAACTGCGCTCGACGCTACCTGGCTCCAACTGTTAGCGGTCTCCAAGCAACAAACCCATGCCAGGTCCACATAGGTTATGGGCTTGGGCGAACGGCTGCCAGACATGTCTGAAAGGACGGATGGAAGCTTTACCATGTCAAAGCAAGGCTCTTCAGCAGGTTAATGGTAACGATAGCATGAGCAACGATCCCGGCTGGCAGCATCAGCCTTATCAGCGGCACAACCATCATTCAACCATCATCATCGATATGCACGAGCCGGCCGAAAGCCCGCAACAAACACAAGATCAGCCGGTTGTTGTGGCTGCCGAAGGCAACTCTTTGACCATCTCTACACCTATAGCAGCAACCCTGTCTTTTCAATACGCAGCTATCACATCCCCAGGCAAACCTTTCAAGACTGTGCCTGGCCATCGAGGAGACATGAAGGCAAAGTTGCGAAGCACGGAACCTGAGGTGCCAACGCAGGTGCTCATGATCAACCATACTGTAAGGCTGCAAGGCTACTGACTCCAGCAGGGTCTTCCTACAAATGCCACCCATCGTGATCAGCGCCAGAAGCAGCTGGCATCAATGGTCATGGCTGTTCGTCATCATCACTATTGCCATCGTCGTCATCATCAGTTTTTCAGGAGGAGGAGCAGCAGCAGCAGCAGCAGCAGCAGCAGCAGCAGGAGCATATCACCATCAGCCATTCTTCTGTTGACCAATAATTACTATCGCCGTTGGTGCGACTGTGCAACCAGAAGGTGGGCATAGCTAGAAAAAAGCCCCAACCATTTAGAATTGATGGCCTGGCAGTGATAGAGGCACCTTTCAAGACGGCCGCGTTCTATCTGTGCCTATCGCTTCTGCATACACACACAGACGCAGAGTGTGTATGTACGCGTGCATGTGCAACGGCTCTTACGAACACGTAGCACTGCAAGTGAGTGCAGGCATGGCTTCGCGTCAGAAGGTGCGAAGTGTTGTCACCACTCACTCTTGTTTGCTCTGCTTGCACAAGCCTAAGGCCTAAGGCTTGAATCTTCCAACAACCAAACTTAAGGATCCAGAAGTAGCAATAGCAACCTTCGCAATGGTTCTCCAGGTAATGTTCATGTCCGAAATAAGAAGTCGTAAAGAGGTAAAACCTGCTTACTCCCTCTGAGTACTGGGCTCCTCTAATCGGAGTGCGGTCTGCTGCAAGACGGCCTCCACAGCAGAGGGCACCTCGCCAGTCACAACAGAGGCCAAGAAACGTACGGAAATTCGGGCAAACAACGTCCCACTTCGTCCTGTGCAGACATAATACTCGATGCAGAGTGTGCGCTTTGACAGAGTCTCGCGAAGAAGATCGGTTAACACTGATCCCCTCCTGAGGAGCCTCAATTTTTGCTCGGTGCTGTATATGTTCAAGGAAGATTATCAAATGGATTTGGGGCGGAAGAAACAGAGCGATGCACTTATTTCCCCAAGCCAGCACCACCGCCAAAGGTCCACAAAACGCCCTTACTACGCGTGGCCAATCTCGAACACAACATCACCCTGTGGGGCTGCACATGCATGCTCAGAGTGGATATGGGCTAGTATGACTCGCTACGGGTTTCTTATACCGTGCGAAAAGTGGGACCCCGGGCATGGCAGCGGGTCCGCGCATAGGCATCCAAGAGGAGGACCAGGTCATTGACTTCGCAAGATGATCTGGAACAGCGGCGAGACAAGTGAAGTTCAGGGTATGCGCCCACAGACGCAGGTGAATAGACAATGCAGATATGTATGTGTTATATGTACATTTGCAAGATGATATGCATGCACATACATAAACAAAGTCGCACAACTGACTGTATACACATCCATCCATCCATTCATCCATCCATCCATCATCCATCCACCATCCATCCACCATCCATCCACCATCCATCCACCATCCATCCACCCACCCACCCACTAATACATCGATACATCCATCCATGCACTGTTTACGCGCCTGCGCGCATGCAAGCATGCACGTACATGTTTGTATGTATGTGTGTTAGGCTGACAAGGTTTGTTGAGGTCTAGGGCCTAGGGAGTCTTAATGCCCCTCTTCGCTTTGAAGCTCGAGCTGGGCTAGGGCGACTAGGGATATCGGGGTGACACTGTCAGATGCCAAAGGTGTAAGGCTCGTTCTCGTTTGACCCAATATCGGCGCTCTGTGATTAGAAGGATCTGACTACAAAAAAATTATTTAGGAACCCGGCATGACCACGAGGACGGCGACGACGATGACTAATTAGTATCACTGCAAACCCTCCTTCTTCTCCGCCCCCGTTTGCTGCCACTGCTAGACTGCTAGACAACATGACACCTGAACAAACCTCAACCATGATGAAAAAGTTTATGCTGGCATCTAACATGAACTCAGTTTGTAAGCTTCAATGCTACCTTGCGCCAAAGTCAGTGACGAGCGACATTGTGGCCGTCACCCTCGGAGCCATCGCCACACAGAGGTCCTGCTGCCCGAGCCCGGTGAATCACAACTTAAGATCCGCCAGTCCAACTTGTGCTTGTGAGACGGAGGCTTTCGGTCTTGTGCAGCTCTATGGGGGGGATTTCCACCTGCAAGCCAGAATCTTTGTGACAATGATGCCAGCACTGATGGAACCACAGTCTCGATGGATTCGTTCGAGGCCCAAGCCACGAGACTTTGTTGACTTGCTCAACCTGTGTAAACCTCCAACATGGGTAGTTGTCAAAATTAGGGTCCCTTTTTGGGTCCTTATTATAATACGGCGCCTATTATTTAGGGTACCCCAAAAGGGACCATAATTTTGAAGACGGACGAGCCCTGGAACTGGAAGCCTGCAGCCTTAACGCTAGCAGGAGCTGCCTCATGAAGGCAGCCCACCTCCCCCAGGCTTCGACCTTGTGACGCTGCGCCCCGTCCCCGTCCCGTCACCCCACAGATGGGGTTTAGGGTTGCGGTTTTGGGCTGTGCAGCTTTCAAGGCTTATAAAGGATCATGAAGCCTTCGGTTGGGGGGTGATAAGGTTCAAAGTTACAGGGCTTCGGACGTAGCGGAATAGGGACGCAAGGGTTGATACCGAAGAGAGGCTAAGCCAGGATCTCTAAGAACTAGCCGGCGCTGCAACATTCGACGTGCATGAGGCAGACGTTAAAGGTTTTGGGTCCGGCCCGGACATCGGCAAGAAATGGTAGCCGATTATAAGGATCCCTGCTAGAAGTTACGGAGTATTCTCTAGAAGCCCAGTTGCCGACATAGTGGGTTTCTGCTCGCCACCTTATGATGTCCAGAGCCCAGCCCGGCAGCCCACTATGCATAGAGCTTGTCGCAGGCTTTAAGGGTGTTCCGGTACGACTGAATCTGAACCCTAAACCCTAAACCCTAAACCCTTTTTGCTTAGATAGCTCGGGTCAGCGACAGAGAAGGGCGAAGTCTGCTGCAGACCAGTGTTCCAGGCTCCTCGAAGAGCTTAGGGCTTGGGGTCTTGGAGTTTAGGGTTTAGGGTCTAGTGTTTCGGAGTTACCTTGTTTTTCAAGAGACCGAAACTTAGCGTTGGAGTAGGGGGCTTATCCTGGAGCTTGGGGATGAGAAAGGTTTACAATTTACAAATTGATAAAGGCTTTCGGGACAGTCAATGGGTCTGGGCAGGAAGTAGCAGGCAGTGCAACTTGCGCCAGAGGCCCAGTCTCCGATCGAGTAAACAGATTACTGCTGGCTTTGCCCTCACATAACCCATCATGTCACCGTGGCATGGTCAGCCATGACACAACTCTCTCGATTTCCGGGGTTGCATGCTGTATATCTCCGGTTTCGAGCATGGTTCTGTAAACGGCCTATAGAGGACCTGTACAGCTTTATGCTGTTGAGTGCACCCTAAACCGAAACCACATCTCCAAGTTAAATCATCAATAAACTGAAGCGTTATGCTCAAGCTCCAAGTCAAAACGGAATCTGAAGTCTGAGCTATGAATCAAGTGCCGATTCCAACGAAAAGGCTTCGTGGGGCTCCTCTGCACCGTGGCAGTCAGGCGCTGGAAGAGCCGGAGATGCTTCCTGCGATGTATCGCGGAGGGTTGGTTGAGGCGGCTCCCTTATAAATTTGTAATTATGCAATCTTGAGGGCTGAGAGCTTGAGGGTTCAGGCTTTTCCGTGGCTGTCAAGCTTAGGGCAATGGGGCTTGAGGGTTGCGGCGAAGGCTCTGCATGACAAACTATGGTGGAAAGGGGCCGACGAAACACTACGGATGCGATATGTCGAGTCGGGAATTTTAGGCAACTGTGTTGACAACCTTTGCCTGGTTGCCCTCCTGCTTGCTTATACTTGAAGTAGCAGTTAGCACTTCTCAGTGTGTCATCACCGGTGGCTTGTCTGTCTGACTCGACAACACAGAGGTGTGGTGGAATCGGAACATGCTTCAGGCTTCAAGGTCAAGGTCCAGGGATGTATGCGCTCCACGTCCTGAACTACCAGGCTGGTACCAGCCGCTTGAAGCCCTAAACCCTGAACGCCCTAAGGATCTGACCTTGAGCTCCGACAAGATGCAGTCAACATCGAAGGCCCATTCGGCGAGTACATACAGTAGAATTCCCATCTTCAAGCTAACTCCAGCAAACCAAACCAACCAACACTACTAAGCAAGACTCCGGTATGTTTTCTACAGAACTTCTGCTAGACTTGAATCGGGAGCATCAAGCCAGAACTCCCAACCCAACCATCCTCTTCACCAGCGCAAAGCTCTCCACGATTTGCAGGATCTCCTCAGCAGGCACACCGACCATGATAATGATGATGGTGATGACGACACGATCAATGTGATGATGGTAGTAGTGATGGTTTTCGATGTACATGGTATGGAAATGCCTGGCCGATGGCAACGATGATGAGCGAAGAGAATCAGCATGACACTCGTAGCAAGAATGGCATCACGGACGATGGCACCGAAAACATTCGGGAGATGGCACCAGCATCTGCAGCAATGTTCCAGCAACCGTGATCATCGTCGTGGTGGCGCTAACAGCAACAAAACATCCCTGAAAAGCTACTCTATGGGGCCTTGTAAGGACAGCTAAGCAGGTAAGATCTTTTTCAGGTCAGATGTTTGCTTCGACCAATAATCCACAATCGCCGTTCTAGTAAGTAGTCATCTCATGTATACAGGTGGTTCCAAGTTTGACACTATGAAAGCTTGGAAATCAACGTTCTGGTAGCCGTACCACATGACAGGGTTGAATTCATACCGTTCGTAGTCATCCTCTATTTTATCAACTTCCTGGCTAAGGCCACAAGGACTCGCTCAAGCAGCTGCAAATATGCAGTTCGCTAGCTTCATCGGGTCAGAGACATTCTGGCAACCATAAGTAGAAACCTAAAGAACCCGGGATCCACGCCCAAAACGGAACACAGTACCCCGGACGGTAGGCCTCCTTCTTTGTAGCCGTAGCCATGGAGGGGATGTCGCGATAAGGGCCCCAGAAGCCCTGCAAACGGCGGCTTCTGGTGGTTTCACGCGCCGGCTTTCCTCCAAAACCGCAACCTATTCTCAACTTTCTTCGGCACAACTCACTGAACCGGGTGTTCAGCCCAATAGCCCTGAACCCTCAACCCCAAACCCTGCCCTAAGCTCTGAACCGAGAGGCCTATGCTATACCCGAAAACCTACCCTAAACCCCACCCCGAAACCTGACGAGAAGGCATCGGTGGAGCACGCCTCATTGAGATTCAGCAGCTCTTCGGCGACCTCCTCTCCTCCTAACTCGGGCCTGGGATGACGGACGTTTGCACACATGGCTTTCCCTAAATAGGGTATTAGAGCCCCTAGGGCCCTGTATAGTAGGTACCTGGAGGGTTAGGGTTTGGGGGTGCATGTGTACTGCAAGTATGTACGGATCGCAGGAATAAGTCCAAGCAAATGGACTTCCGAGCGACACAGCAGCATGCCTTCAGAAGTGACGCCCGCAGCTCTTCTCAAGCAGAAGCCAGTGAGGGACGGGCAGCTCCAGATCCTGGCAAGTAGGGTTTAGGCTCCGGGTGCCGGATTTGGAGGGCTCGTGACTAAAGTGGGTTTGGGTTTTTGGTTCGGATGGCCTGAACTTTGGACTGAACTCAACAGGTTAACTTCTATTCCCATGCAGAAAGGGGGGTTCCTTGAAGCGAACTCTTTCGCAAACAGGTAGGCACAACTGTCCGTCCGTAGTCATCGCTCGAACTATGAATATGGAGGGACAGTATCAATGCCGGCCTCCAAAGCAACCTCGACGCCTTCGGCTAGGCCTCGGTCGCAGGGCGAAGGCTGCCCTCAAAACGAGGCATCTTTTAGTCTCGGGGGTTGGAGCAAAGTAGAGCACCGATTCATCGTGTCGGCTTTCTTGAAGCGCTCCAATAACAAAGCCCTGACATTCAAAACCGCAATGGAAGGAGGAGGTGTTATCCAAGCTTCAAAGGTGCTTCGGCGCAGGGGACGAAGTAAGCAAGGCAACCTAGTTTTGCTCCACGTGCAGGAGGAGAACCCCCAGCGACCGCCCTGGATCTGCAACGATGCTATTGTATAAGTGAGCCATACCGTCTGGAGTCCGGCTAAGGATCTCGCAGAAATGACCCCAAAGCCCAGACACCGAGACAACAGAACAACTGCTCAAAGTAGATGAGGATGTCAGTCGTTGAAGGCAAGCCTCGGAAAACTCGTGAAAAAAACACTACCCATGTTGAACAAGAGGAGCAGTAGGCGTGACCAAGTAGTCATATTGCCCATGAACTTGTCAAAAACGTACTTGATCCCCAGCTCTTCAGTCTGAGCCCTAAGACAAACATGAGAGGTCCCGGCCAGGAAAGGCAGTGACCAAGTCTTCAACAGCCTCGTGGCATGGAGGGACCCCATTCTCAAGGCAAGACAACCTTGCACTCCAAACACTACTCCAAGTCTGCGAAAAAGCCGAACAGCCTTGAGGATTCGGCTTCCTCGAAGCCAGTGGCGTTGATATAGGAGCAGAGATAGGACAATGAGGCTGATGAGCACGGATCGGGCATGGGTGGTTCAATATTCGGAGTCTCAAGCTTTGCATCGGAGACTAGCCCGAAACAAGCGCCGAACTGTTGCCGATTATATACCCTCTTTTAAACTTTCTAAACCAGGATATTCCGGCGCCGGTGGCCTCTGCACTGGACAATCCCTGCGTTGATCTCCGCAGAAACCTGGCGGCAGCACTGTTGTAATAGCTGCATCACCTTCTCCCCTCTTTCGGCTTCGAATGCTTCCAGCCCTGCTAAACTCCATTGCAAACACTTTTGGCCCGCCATCAAAGACTCACAACCGACAGCGAAGCGGAAAACCAAAACTCTCCACTGAACAAGTAACACTCTATGGATTTCGCCCTATAAAACGCCATTCGGACCACAAACACTGACACCCTGCATCAACCATCTTAACTCTGTGTCTTAACCCCAAGCCTTCTGAAAACTAGAAGCCCTCTAAACCATGGCCCTGAACGCCAACGGCAGCCGTAGTACGCCCTAAACCCTTAACCACCTGGCTTGCCCTGCGCCCAGGGTTTCGCGCCCGGAGGCAGGCAGCTGCCAGGCCTAGGCCACAGGCAATGAGGGCTTAGGGTTTAGGGTTTTGGGGGCTTGTGGAGTTTGAGGGCTTTCGGTTTCAGGGTTTTGGATCTTGGGGGTTTACAGTTAAGGTCTATAAGCCTTTGAATTTCAGAGCAGCAGGAAGAGAACTGTGACTTTTCTTCTGTGCTCGGTGCGAAGCTCACGATGAGTTTGAGAAGGTGGTTTTTAGGGCTTGTCGGGCTCAACGTTCATGTCTTCATGCCCCCACCATCCTCATGCTCAGCACCATATCTATCAGATTCAACAGCGCATCATCACAGACCTGACATGCCTTGGGCCCAGCATTCGAAGAACCTCGCGGCGGAAGCCCTGGTTTCGCCAACCCACTGTGCTCAGCATCGTAGATTCTGTTGAGCAGGTGACTGAGTGGTAAGCATTGAGCGTACCCTTCTGGGACAAGCGGTGCTCGCTCGAGGCATTTCCAAAAAAAACACACATCAAAAGCTTCATGAGGGCAGCAGGTAGGTAACCTAGCATTCATAGCAAAAGGCTGAGAACCTGGAGGCGGAAGCCGGCCTCTCAAAGATTCCCGGGGCCAAACTCTCCCCTAAACTATCAGGATCCTCGGATAATAACCTTGCAAACTTTGACCAAGGGCCTTTGGGCATTCTGGGAGCAGTTCCCCGTTCATGTGAGGTGCGGAACTTGGCTCCCTGCCGAAGTGAGGAAGGGAGGATGGGCTGCACAAAGATGCCCTTGTCTTCACTCTTTTGGGTTCAGAGGTTCAGGTGAGTTTCAGGTGTCCTTGGAGCTATGGACTCATTGTCCTTACTTCTTGCGGTTCAACGCAGGCTGCACTGAGTAAAGAGTGGTAGGGGCTTCTGGGCTGAGGGTCCCTATATATAATGTAAGGGCCTTAATAATTATACTAAGGTTCTGGGGTATATTATACTATAATTATAATAAGGAACCCCCAAAATAGTATATAGCTTCCACGCATGCCTGCGCATGCTGTGGTCTGAACAATACCGGCATTGACAGGTTGCTAAACCCAACCCCCCCAGGTACCTACTCTATAGGGCCCTAGGGGCTCTAGTACCCTATATAGTAGGTACCTGGGAGGTTAGGAAACTGGATTCTTACACACTATGCCGCTCCCCTGCCAGAAGAGTAGGTGCACAACCACATGCCGGCCAACAACTACAAAGCTTACATAGACGTGACAAAGATCGAGAGACGTAGCCTTTTCAGGGGCAGGCACAAGCCTCCAACCCTCCCTGCAAGTACCCTCCTCCCCACCTTATACAATGACAGCGCCCTCGTAGGGCTCTTGAAGTGGCATTACTTTGCATCTGCGGATACTCTGCCACGGTGGCTGGGCCACAGACTGCCCACGATGGCCCCGCGCTGGAGCCACGTCATCCTTCGTCAAGCGCAGCTAAGCCAAGAATTTATAAGCTGTAGAAATTTAAGGGTTGTTGCTTGGGGTTTGCTGCTTATCGGGTTTTAGGACGAGAATGAAATCCAACAGTGGATCCCGATTAGCAGGAAAAGCTTCCTTGAACCTACGCAAAAGGTCCGGAAACTGTGCTGCCATAAATGGTTTAACGCCTTGGGGGCTTTAGGGATGTCTTGGGTTGTGGCAAAATGAAGAGTAATGAAGATTATCAGACACATGCATAGGCTGCAGCAGGACCACTGACAGCTCCAACGGGATTCATATCCATCACATGGACGCGCATATGTATACATACATATATATATATATATAAGTATAAATATATATATATATACACACATACAAATATCTATATATCTGTATATCTATATATCAATATATCTATATATCTATATATCTATATATCTATATATCTATATATCTATATCTATATCTATATCTACATCTATATATACATATAAATATATATATTCATTTATATGTATGTATCTATGTCCATATGCACATATGCCAAAATTGTAAGTATACATGCACTTACAGGCATGCATGCATGGATGTCTGGACGTCTGGATGTCTCCTGTCTGCCTGTCTGCCTGTCTGCCTGGCTGCCTGGCTGTCGGGCTGTCTGTGTGTGTGTAATATATATATATATATATGTGTGTGTGTGTGTGTCTGTGTGTGTGTGTGTGTCTGTGCGTGTGTGTCTGTGTGTGTGTGTCTGTGTCTGTGTGTCTGTGTCTGTGTGTCTGTGTCTGTGTCTCTGTGTCTGTGTCCGTGTCCGTGTCCGTGTCCGTGTCCGTGTCCGTGTCGGTGTCGGTGTCCGTGTCCGTGTCCGTGTCCGTGTCCGTGTCCGTGTCCGTGTCCGTGTCCGTGTCCCTGTCCCTGTCCCTGTCCCTGTCCCTGTCCCTGTCCCTGTCCCTGTCCCTGTCCCTGTCCCTGTCCCTGTC